GCAAATGAAATCAAAAAGTATGGTTTAAATAATATAAAACTGCTGTTATTAATCTATTGGCAAAGTGTAAACTGTACGAATATTTTTAAAAATAAATGCTAATTTTGTTTCTTTAAATGGTTATTCGGTTGTTTAATTTTTAAAATTTAAAGGGTTTTCAAATAGCAAAGAAAGAAAGGACAAAGACAAAAATTTTATTCAATTTATTGAAATTTGGCTGACCATACAAAGCTGTTTCGAGTATTGCCAAGTTCTCATCAATAGTGGTTCTAGAAAATAATCGAATTTCTTAATTAGTTTATACCATAGTCCGTATATAATTTGTTTGGGCTGCAAGTGCCAGGCTTAGAACTCGTGCCTATCAAATTAGAAGCGATGACTAACCATGTAGACGAGTAGACGAGACTACACAAACTTTAAGTGCTCTAGTTCCAGGTTTTTTGTCACTTTTTTATTTAATTAGTAACATTAACCAAAGCACTTGCCGTGCTTTAAATTAGCATAAATAAATTGAATAAAATTTTTGTGTTGTTTATTTTTTATTATTTTGGTTTAAGATAAAACTTTTTAAATTTTTTTTTTTGGTATTTAAAAACATTACCGTAAAAGAGAGTACATTACTCGACTGCAGTATGGTGCTGCGGTATAAATATATAAATATAATAAGTTCAACCTTGCTTTCATAATGTACGTCTGTGAGGCGTACGATCTTTTTACATTTTGCTCTCTCTCTCTCACAAATGTTTTCACAACGTATGCATATTTGCATTTATCTCAGTCGTTACCAGTGGTAGTTGATTTTCGGTGGTAAAATTTGTATATTCTGAGATACTGCCAAGCCATACGTCTCCGAGATGTATGTTTATGTTTTGTGCTACTTGTACAATTTTTGAGTGATTATTAGTTATTGTGTTTTTTTATTTAAATTCAGTACATGTAATTGTAAATAAAAGCAAAATGGAAAGTAATGAAATATTAGACGACACGCAAATAGCTACTTAACTGACATGTCTAGATGAATTTAGCTCAACCGAAAATGAGAGTGAAAGAGAAGTGATTATTAGTTATTGTGTTTTTTTATTTAAATTCAGTACATGTAAGTGTAAATAAAAGCAAAATGGAAAGTAATGAAATATTAGACGACACGCAAATAGCTACTTATCTGACATATCCAGATGAATGTAGGTCAACCGAAAATGAGAGTGAAAGAGAAGATGTGGTATCGGAAAATGATATTCCAAAATATCAAAAAAGACGCAAAAGATAAAGATCTTAATGTACAGGAAAATCGCGAAAATATATCGCCAGACCCGGAACACGAAGAAACCAACAATAATAGGTCGTCTTTAGACAGCCGGATAGTAAGAGTACTTCAGCCAACATCAAGAAGCAAAAGCCAATATTGCTGGACTACTTCGAAGGGAATAAATGCCGGTAGAGTTCTATCGATGAATGGTGTTCGAATAATAAGAGGTCTCACAAGAGCATGTAAAGCCTTATGTGATCCGATTTCTTCCTTCACTGCTTTTTTTACTGACGAAATAATATCAGAAATAGTTTAGTGGACAGATGCAGAGATATCTCTAATACGAACAACTAATTTGAGAAGCAAAACGTTCGCAGATACAAATTGTCTTGAAATTGGTGCTCTTCTTAGCATACTGACTTTGACCGCAGTATTGAAGGACAATCACTTGTCAGCTAGTGAGTTATTCAATACAACCTATAGTGGAGATAGGTACATTGTTGCCATATTTGGACAAGACAACAACAACTGTAAGGATGGAAATTTTGCACAAATTTCCAACCTACATAAATTTAAATAAATTTCGAAGAAATCTGAAATTAAAATAGAGGAATTAACATTTAACATAGTTATTAGAAACTACTTACCAAAAAGCCACCCAGCCTGCACGCAACTGCAACACGTGAAGCAATCTGAAATTAAGAGAAAATAAATTTGTAATAAATACAGAAATATATCTTAATAAAATAATAAATACATTCCTTCTTTGTTCATCCCCGCAAATTTATTTAAATAATTTATTAATAAATAATTTTTCATAATTATAAAATTAAATTATAAATAATTTAAAAAAAAACACGATAAAATTACTAACACCGGCGCTTTCATGTAAAAAGTAAAAATGTAAACAAACATTTGCAAACGTCAAAAACGTCAAAATGCAATTCGCTGCAAAAAGATGCACAAGGAAGCTTTTGTGCAAGTGTTAAAGTGCATTAAGTTTAACTAAGAGAAACTGAAAGCTTTGTGTACTTTGCACATAAAGTTCAAGAGGATGCATATAAAAGACGGCGCAATTTTCTAAGAAGGGAGTGTGTCTTGTATGATCACTCAGTGGCATTGTATGTCAACATATAAAATAAATAAATATTAAAAATGGTACAACGAAACGGGAAAATCCGTGTCGTTACACAACTTCAACGATGCCATTAGGTGAATACTTCGTGAAGGAGTTAAAAAGGCCAATACATGGTACCTGTCGCAACATCACTTTCGATAATTGGTTCACCTTCGTACAACTAGCAAAGAGCTTCCTAAAAGAGCCATATAAGTTGACCATTGTTGGAACAATAAGATCCAACAAGCGAGAAATACCTGAGCAAATAAAAAATACCCGCTCACGACCGTTTGGTACAACAATGTTTTGCTTTGATGGCTCTTTAACTTTAGTGTCATATAAGCTCATATAAGTTCATATAAGCTCATATAACGCACATATAACGCCATATAAGCTAATCTTTGATGGCCATCAAAGATAATATATTTGCTATCTTCCACCGAAAAAGGTAGGTGTGATTATCTGCTGCAGTTTTTTAGATAGTTCGACTACTATGAATCTAATCAACTTTTTAATTCATCTATGGTATATAAGAAAAAAGTTTATTGAACGGTTTAATTATGTTAAAAATCATAATTTAAAAACAGAAATGATGCGAAACTAATTTAAAATGTCAATATTTTACCTTCTGCTCAAAAAGTACTCGGATTTTGTAAATAAAACACACAAATTTAAATTTTATTCCAAATTTATTTTATCGCCTTCAAAATATGCTCCTTCTAAAGCGATACACATATGCCAACGCTTTACCCAATTTTCCATACACTTTTCGTAGGCCCGTGAAGGTATGGCTTTTAGTTCTCTATTACCGATTCAATCGACTCAAAACGCTTACCACGAAGAAGCAATTCGAGTTACGGGAACAGGAAACGGATCTAGATCTGGTGAATATGGTGCCTGAGCGATGACAGTGGTGCCGTGTTTGGTCAAAAAATCGCGTACAACAAGAATTTTCCATAGTAAAAATCGCTAAATGCACTTGAGGTAGTTTCACATTAACAGCTGCTGTAAACAAACTAATTGACAGATGGCGTTCAAATTTGTACCATATGTCAAGAAAGGGTGTACCCACAAAACAAAAAAAAAATTTTTTTGAAAAAGGTCTATTACTTAAGGAGTAGTTAACAAACAACAAAATCCGGATACTTGTTGCGCAGGTCTAAAAATAAAAAGTGAAAATTTTTGTATATTTTCTTCGAAAATTGATTTAATGGTATTATGGTGCGTATGAGCAACGTGAATGACAACTGATAAATTAATTTTTTTTAATTACTTCTAAAAGAAGTATCACAGTGGAAATATTTATTTTGTAAGTAGAATTTATATATTAATTTGAATCAAAAGTAAAAAAAAAATTTTAACCAAGTTAGATGACGGTCGGTTTTTGCAAATGATGCGTGTAAACAAAAACCAATTTGCTTATTTAGTTGCCTTGATTTCTGAAGCTGAAATATTTAAAAAAGCAAACGGCAGCAAACAGTTTCCGATTGGACTACATTTAGCTATAGTTCTGTATCGTTTGGGCTCTTCAGGAGAGAGTGCGTCAATTAGGAAAGTAGCAGCTACTTTTGGAATTGGCGATGGTGCAACTTTGATGAAAATTACACAAAGAATTTTTAGTGTTTTTATAACACTATTGACGAAGTATATCGTATGGCCAAGCTCATCAGAGCAGGAACAAATAATAAGTGACACGTACAATGAATTACCGTTTTGCATTGGCTATATCGATGGCACTGAAATAAAAATTGCAGATGCACCACAAATTAATCATGAAAAATATTTTTCAAGAAATCACATTTATTCCATTAAACTTCAAGCTGTTTGTGATTACAAATTAAGAATAAGAGATGTTGTTGTTGGTTATGCGGGCTCGACTCACGATGCTAAAGTTTTTTCGAACTCAATACTTTTAAAAGAAAAAGATCGATTTTTTTCTAATCAATCATGGATTGCTGGTGACTCCGCATATCCGTTGTCTGATATCATTATACCACCATATAGAAGAAACTCACAGCAACTTACCAGTGAAGAACGAATTCAGTTCAATAAACGCCATAGTAAATATCGAGTTCGGGTGGAACATTGTTTTGGGTTATTGAAGGAAAATTTTTGTAGCTTGAAAGAACTAAGAGTTCGAATTAAAAATAACAAAAGTCATAAATTTTGTTGTGAAAGGATACTTGTGTGCTGTATTCTTCACAACATATTGCTTACTGAATTTGAAAGTCAAAGCCGTGAAGAAATACATATTTCTGCAGAGGAAGATCTTCCTGATATGTTACTCTATAACAACGAATCTAGTGCATATGAAAGTAAAAGAAAGTCAATTTACAATCTTATGTTTAATTAATTTTCAAATGTTTTATTCATATTTATAAGAAACTTAAAATAGTGAAAACATAAATATAATTTTTAAAATGAAAAAATACAAGTAAAAGTAAGAGTAATATGAAAAAATGTTAAAAAATAAATATACAGTAAAATTTAAATATATTTATGTATATACTCAACTTTTATACTATATATACTAAACCTAATACACTAAGTGTATCGAACTTATCATTAATAGATTAAAAATAATAAAATTAAATTTTAATATTTGTTAAAACTTAAAACTAAATTGAGAATCATTAATTAGTTAGGACAAAATAAAATTGAAATATTAGCTATCGTTCGCTTTGCCATATTTTAAATCCAGTTCATATATCGCCAATTTCTCTTTTTGCTTTAACTTCTCCTCTTTTAGCCTGAATCTCATGTTTATCTTATCCTCCTTCATGCGCAATTTTTTTAGTTCCAATTCTTTGTGAAACTCGAATTTTTCTACTTCAAGTTGAAGCTTCCGATTTTGGAACTCCTCTCGTTTGCGTTCAATATCGTTTAGTTCCTGAATGGCGGATGTTTGTTTATTACGTCTTAAATTGTTTTCGAAACGAATCCTCCCTGGTGTAGTTTTTTTTTTGTGTGTTAACCTCGCTTCTGTTAGTAGTGATCTGTTACACAGTATTTTCTGTCAGTATATCTGCATCAAATATCGTGCTAAATGGTGTTGCTTCTTCGCTGTTCGCTATTTCAACGCCTGCTCGTTCGCTGGTACTATTCAGTTCTTACACTGACATCTCCTTGTCGCATACCATAGCAGAAGATTGTAAAACAATTTTGTTGCTCCAAGCTTTCTCACCAAATATTTCCGACAATTGGTCATAATATGGACACATCAATTTTACCTTATCTACAAACAAAAAGGAAACATTTATATAACATTTATACTAACACAAAATTGATTTTAATTACCTTTTATAGATGTGACTTCTTCGTCATCTAGCAAGCCGGCGCCAGTAGACTTGCGCCAATTGTTTGCCTTAACAAAACTTTGCTTAAAATATCTCATCTTAAATCTTACTAAGTCCCACGTTGTATCAATTTTTGTCACTTCTAATAGTTTTTTATAATATATTTGGGCTGTTGGTTTCTATAATTAAAACGAATCAAGTTTTGTAAAAATAATAAAAACAAATTGTCATCCAACCTCAAAATTAGACGTATCCCAGGCTTTCGACAAAGTTTGGCATACAGGTCTACTAACAAAAATAAGAGACATTTTTCCGTTGGAGTATTTCGATATGGTTTCTTCTTATTTGACTAATCGTAACTTCCGTGTTAAGCATGGAAACGATTACAGTGAACTCCAAAAAATCAACGCTGGGGTACCCCAAGGCAGTGTACTTGGTCCTTTGTTATATTTAATATACACACATGATTTGCCAATGAGCTCAGCGACGTTTACAGCGACGTTCGCTGACGATACAGCTGTTCTAGCGATTGGAGATGATGAACTAACAGCAGCCAGGCGTCTGCAGTCTTCTGTCAATGACATTATCGCTTGGGCTGAAAAGTGGAAAATAAAACTTAACCACTATAAATCAGTTCATGTCAACTTTACAAACCGAAATATCAGATTTATGCCCTTCTACATTGATGGAATGCAAATTCCACATTCTAATACGGCTAAGTACCTCGGTATGACATTGGATGCAAAGCTGAGATGGAATGAACATGTAAAAAAAAGAGAGATGAACTGAATATAAAATACAGATCAATCAAATGGCTTATTGGAAAGAAGTCGAAACTGTCACATCATAACAAGCTTTTAATTTACAAACAAATATTGACACCAATTTGGACATATGGTATTCAGCTCTGGGGATGCGCTAGCAGCACACATGTTGAAACCATACAAAAATTCCAAAACGTTATATTAAGGGGTGTGGCAAATGCACCATGGTACGTAAGGAACTCTGATCTGCATCGTGATCTAGGGATAAATACGGTGGTGGAAGAAATACAGCGAAATGCAAGAATGCACCTGCAGCGACTGTACTCTCATCCGAATGATGAAGCTAACGAACTGGCGTCAATAGAGCCAACACGTCGCCTTAAGGGTATAAAACCTTGCGTGAACTTGCGTGATTTCTGATTAAATTCTTTATAATTGTTGATTAAATTTGTTTGTTAGCTTATTATATTGTTAGCTAGTTACTCTTATAAAAATTTATTTAATCAAATAAAATAAATTTATATAAAAAAAAAAAAATAAATACAACCTCAAAATGTCCGTTTGCATAAATATATTCCAATATTTTTAAATTTTCCTCATTTGTCCATTTTCGTACTTGATTTTTTCTTTTCCGTGTTTTTGTTTGTACATTACTCACTAAATTAAATCCTTTTAATTTAAAAGTTATATATAATTAATAACTTACTTTTGCCAAATATCCTGCTCTTCACTTAACACAATATTTAATATTAATCAAAAACAAAAACAAAACAAATTTTAAATGCTGCCCATACGAAATGCTTAGTATAAATACATTTTCGGAGTAAAATTTTTTCTTATATATAAGAAATATGGAAACATTGAAAAAAGAGTAAAAGTGCAACGCAAATGTTTGTCAAACCAAATGCTTGACTAACGTAGTAACATTGCAACACATCACTAGATAACCTGAGCCTAGATAGCAACGACGCTGAGGGGACCAAGCCGGAATTGGAACACGAAATTTTTCTAAGTTTATTAATTTGTCAAAATTAGCCAAATTTAAGCTTTTTCACCAAGTTTGAAATATGATTTAGATAGAAAATTCAATTATCTTTCATTTGGTATACACCCCATATCTGTATGTTTTGTAATAACTGAGATATTGAAAAAATAAAAAAATCAAATTTTTTGAAAAAACTGACTTTTTTTACTTAAAAAATTATTAAAAAACAACCACAAACGGGACCGACATGCACGCATACTCACCTGAAAGGCAATAAAACAAGCTTTCCAATAAAGTAAAAATCAAAAAAATCTTATGCACAGATTTTGTGCAAAATCGCATTAAAGTTCGATGTCGAAACCGCTTAAATATCATCCGAATCAAAAAACTAAAAATGCAAAATGTTCAAAAATACATCACAAAATACAATTTTAAAACCTCAATTAGATATTTTAATTTTATCATAAAAAATTGTTAAAAAATAGCATTTTTTTTTAGCTTACTTTACTGTAATCATTATATCTTCGCGTGCAAAAAGGGGACCGAAACAAAATTAATTTTTCTTTAAAGACAATAAAATTTACTTTCCAAAAAACTTAAAATCATAAAAATCGTATGCACAGTTTTTTCTCTATTATTTTTCAAAAATTGTCAATTTTTTACCAAAAATTCAATTATTTGAAAAAACCCTTCACCCTCACAGCGCCAAATGCGGAGCATACTCAAGGCAGGCATGCCAGCGCCATCTAAGTTTCAAGTATAAATATGATGTTTGTATTTTTTTACGCAAGTATTGCGAATAAATAAATTTATAAAAATTTGAATAGAAAAAGCGACTTTCTTATATAAAAAGATTAATTTATAAAAAACTACAATGAAGATCCAAATGCACGCTAAAACCTTTAAAGGCAATAAAACTCACTTTCAATTGCAACATAAATCAAAAGGATTGATTTTGTCTTCACCCCAGGATATTTAATCAAATATGAAAATTATTATTTCTTTTTAAACACATGTTTTTAAAAAAGTAAAGATGACAAATGTTAAGATATACATTATAATGCATAATTGTAAAATATCAACAAAATATTTTAATTATATCATAGAAATTTCATTAAAAATAAACAATTTTTTTTATAGTATGCATTTATATATAGAAATAAGTTTTCATGCACGAACGGAACCAAAATCACCTATACATTTTTATAAAGATGAAGAAATTTTCTTTTCAAAAAGCTCAAAATCGTAAAAATCTAATGCACAGTTTTTTTATAATCATTTTTTAAAAATTTCTCTATTTTTTACCAAAAATTCAATTTTTTTAAATAAATAAATTGTGTCACAGCGCTAAGGTCGGAGTATATAGGAGGCACAGAAGGAAAAGTGCTATCTGTATTATAAGATAGAATGTTATGTTTGTATGTTTAATGCATTTGTTGCGAATGAATGAATTAATGAAAATTTGAATAGAAAAAGCGACTTTCTTATATAAAAAGATTAATTTATAAAAAACTACAATGAAGATCCAAATGCACGCTAAAACCTTTAAAGGCAATAAAACACACTTTCAATTGCAACATAAATCAGAAAGATTGATTTTGTCTTCACCCCAGGAAATTTAATCAAATATGAAAATTATTATTTCTTTCTAAACACATGTTTTTAAAAAAGTAAAGATGAGAAATGTTAAGATATACAAAATAATGCATAATTGTAAAATATCAACAAAATATTTCAATTATATCATAGAAATTTCATTAAAAATAAACAATTTTTTTTATAGTATGCATTTATATATCTCAATAAATTTTCATGCACGAACGGGACCAAAATCATCTATACATTTTTATAAAGATGAAGAAATTTCCTTTTCAAAAAGCTCAAAATCGTAAAAATCTAATGCACAGTTTTTTTATAATCATTTTTAAAAAATTCTCTATTTTTTACCAAAAATTCAATTTTTTTAAATAAATAAATTGTGACACAGCGCTAAGGGCGGATTAAAATCAAAGTAGATGGGTTAATTGATCTGTATTTTGAGTGGGATGGTGTCTAACAAAAACACTTATCAGTGTTACAAACCATTTCTTTTTAGAAATGCATGAATTGTTTGGAATCTGTCAATGTTTATGCAACAAAATTTCAGTGGCGGAATCTATTTTATAACACTATAGCTTTCTAAACGCTTGATATAAAAAATTATTAGAGATATAATTAATGTAAAATAAAAAATAAGGAAAATGAATAAATAAATAAAATAAAAATAAAACTTATTTGATGATCAATATATGGGTGACATGTACTAGAATCTGTCAATTAGTCAAATTATAAAATTCGCATCAGATATAAGACAATAAATATGTACATATATATAAAACAGATACAATTTTATGTTGATGTACTTTTCATATTTCACATTTCAATTTTTATTCATAAAACTTAAAAAGCAATCACATTCTTCATTTATTTTAATTTTGTATGATTATATATGCTTTTACAAGTATGTATTGTTAATCAGACTATGTATGTACATATCTGCATAGGTATAAAATATAGCTGGCGTCACAATAGTTTCGTGCATTTTTTTCTATGCGCATACAATCATCAAGTTTATGTTTTATATGCTTATAATAATTTTTAATAATCATTTATTTATTAAATATATGTATGTATTAATTGATTTTACTTATTTTTATATGTACATATATACATTGATTTCAATTTAGTTCTAAACAATACATCCAAATATGTGTAAGACGGAGACTTAAAACATATTTTTTCCCCACCCGTCTGTCTGTCGCCATATGCTAATAATGCACGTGGTTATATGTATGTATGTAAAAAGAAAAAAGCAGTGGGTGAAATAAGTATTAGGATCATTTTGTTATTAAATTAAATTTTCATGCACGAACGGGACCAAAATCATCTATACATTTTTATAAAGATGAAGAAATTTCCTTTTCAAAAAGCTCAAAATCGTAAAAGTCTAATGCACAGTTTTTTTATAATCATTTTTTAAAAATTTCTCTATTTTTTACCAAAAATTCAATTTTTTTAAATAAATAAATTGTGACACAGCGCTAAGGGCGGATTAAAATCAAAGTAGATGGGTTAATTGATCTGTATTTTGAGTGGGATGGTGTCTAACAAAAACACTTATCAGTGTTACAAACCATTTCTTTTTAGAAATGCATGAATTGTTTGGAATCTGTCAATGTTTATGCAACAAAATTTCAGTGGCGGAATCTATTTTATAACACTATAGCTTTCTAAACGCTTGATATAAAAAATTATTAGAGATATAATTAATGTAAAATAAAAAATAAGGAAAATGAATAAATAAATAAAATAAAAATAAAACTTATTTGATGATCAATATATGGGTGACATGTACTAGAATCTGTCAATTAGTCAAATTATAAAATTCGCATCAGATATAAGACAATAAATATGTACATATATATAAAACAGATACAATTTTATGTTGATGTACTTTTCATATTTCACATTTCAATTTTTATTCATAAAACTTAAAAAGCAATCACATTCTTCATTTATTTTAATTTTGTATGATTATATATGCTTTTACAAGTATGTATTGTTAATCAGACTATGTATGTACATATCTGCATAGGTATAAAATATAGCTGGCGTCACAATAGTTTCGTGCATTTTTTTCTATGCGCATACAATCATCAAGTTTATGTTTTATATGCTTATAATAATTTTTAATAATCATTTATTTATTAAATATATGTATGTATTAATTGATTTTACTTATTTTTATATGTACATATATACATTGATTTCAATTTAGTTCTAAACAATACATCCAAATATGTGTAAGACGGAGACTTAAAACATATTTTTTCCCCACCCGTCTGTCTGTCGCCATATGCTAATAATGCACGTGGTTATATGTATGTATGTAAAAAGAAAAAAGCAGTGGGTGAAATAAGTATTAGGATCATTTTGTTATTAAATTAAATTTTCATGCACGAACGGGACCAAAATCATCTATACATTTTTATAAAGATGAAGAAATTTCCTTTTCAAAAAGCTCAAAATCGTAAAAATCTAATGCACAGTTTTTTTATAATCATTTTTAAAAAATTCTCTATTTTTTACCAAAAATTCAATTTTTTTAAATAAATAAATTGTGACACAGCGCTAAGGGCGGATTAAAATCAAAGTAGATGGGTTAATTGATCTGTATTTTGAGTGGGATGGTGTCTAACAAAAACACTTATCAGTGTTACAAACCATTTCTTTTTAGAAATGCATGAATTGTTTGGAATCTGTCAATGTTTATGCAACAAAATTTCAGTGGCGGAATCTATTTTATAACACTATAGCTTTCTAAACGCTTGATATAAAAAATTATTAG